CGTTGTGGCGCCCCAAAAAGGAGCTAAGGCTAAAAAGAAGAAAAAAAAGAAAATAAAGTTTCAGCAACTTGTATAAATAAAAATGTTTTGGTATACGAGTGATAATATGTTTTTTTACGGCTGCCGTCGATGCTGTGGAAGTTCGCTAGCTGGCTGAGCTGCTCTGAGCCGGGCTAATATTTGCTTAGCTGTATTCAAGTTTGGTTCGATTCGGCTTGCTTTTGTGCAAACAGGCAAATCAAACAGCAGTTTGAGAGTCACAGTTATGATACAAGTATTCTGAGCATGTTTCACCAAAAAGTTTTGCCCCATCCCTTCTGGCTCCAGTTATACATTCTTGGCCCTTTGCCAAAACTGCTGGAAAAAGTGCAGTCAACTGTTTGGAAATAAACCGAAAATGTCGACAACGAAAAACTGTTTAAGCCACTGGCGGCTAAACTGCCACAAATCAAATATTATTGCCCAACCGTTTTTCTCTTCGGTAGCAACTGTTTATTTAACCATAAACCTTTTTGTCCGACCCTCTTGTTAATAAATATTTAAACGGCAATACAGGCGAGCGTATGATGGCTAAAGATACAGCCATGCGGAAATGAATTTATTTGCGAACATGGGGGTGCCACAGCTGTTTGGCTAAATCTAGCATGGGAACCTGTGTGCATCGCATAGAAAATAGCTCGTTGTCGTCTTCTAGTTGGTCTCTTTGTGTCTGCTTACTCATAGACGGGTTCGCAATTTGGCAGCAATAATGAAAACGAGACACATGTCACCGCCCAAACCCCCGCAAAAACCTTCTGTCGATGCAGACATAAATTTAATCTAATTGAAAAATTGTACATAGAGTGTGGCGTAAATTGCAGAGCATGCACGGCTTATTAGATATGAATTTATTATGGGGGCATCCCGTCAACGGTTAACAATCTGATTTTTGGCATTAAATATTCATATTCATATGCAGATTGGGTAAACATAATGAAACAAGAATCAATTTGTGGAATGAATCTTTTCTTTCTATATTTTTGTACCTTTTAAACATTCTTTTAGGCATTTGCTTATTGGTTTGAAATTTAAACTTCTTCTTTATAGAAACACATTTATTTTCATATGTTAAAGAATAATAAAACCTTAAACATTAAATCAAAATCCCCAAAAGCAATACCCTTTCGATTTTATTCCCTGTGAATTTCTCTCATAGTTCAACCGGCTGGCTGACAAGCAGCTCGTCAATAAAATGTGGCCCAACATTTCTGGGAATCATTTGGCATTCCCTCTTCGGAATCGCAAATAATATCAACAACAAAGTCTAATATTTAGTGAGTGTCAGCTGGATGCTCCTGCTTGAACACGAATCCACACTTGACAGTTTCTGCGAAACGCAATAATATATTCCTCATTTTCCCTTGCTCTCTTTGGCACTTACTAATAAATTCATTTTTGTCAGCCAGCTAAGAAATGCACTTGGCCATTTATTTCACAGTACTTAGTTGCACGTGCCAAAACAGAAATAAAAATAATTTATATGCAAAATACAGAGGCGTTGTGGCAACAGTAAGGTACCGAACATTTTTGGTAGTACTAATATTAATTTGAATTGTGTTCTTTTTTGGGGAAGAAGGTCCGCCAACTGAGGCGCCTGATAAGCTGGAAAATAAAACTTACAAACAACTACGGAGTGGACAGATTCAAGTCCCCAGCTCCAGACTCCATCTTTAAGATTTCTGCTTGCTGTGCGACAATATTTGAATCGTGTCATGGAATATTCCATGAATCTGTGTTGAGAACTTGGCTGAATGTTGACGGGCCACAATAACAGGCCGACACATCCCTTGGCCTCGGCTCTGTATAAGTTCAAATATTCTGGTATTGAGGGTGGAGGTTCTGAGTACTGAGAGGTGGGAGGTGGGCCATATTGGATGCCTACATATGTTTCTATTGCCATTGTGACGTCATCCGGACAGAGGGACTACGGAATCAGTGAATCGTGAGCCGGGAGTCGCGAGCGGGTTAACTGTCAGCGATAAGTCGGAGGCAAAAACAGAGACAGCCAGCCCGACGGCATATTTATGGGCCCATTTCCCCAAACAAATCCCGAACCGAGTATATTCTTCTTTTTTATATATACATGTATATATATAAGATAAAAGCAGTGTAAGCTGCGTGAGAAAGGCACAGTTCCACAGATTCTTGGCCTAGGACTGCGCCAAAAACTTGACTCTACTTTTAAACTTATTGTGGAAATTCGAGAAAAAAGAACAGAACAGAACTCGTGTGCTTGTACACAGGCAAATATATTAAATCATTTTGATTATGCTGTTAGATGTTCTAGTGGCCCATCAGCGATAACGAAGGGGACTGATAAGGCCCGTCGTATATTTGCATATTATACGAATAACATGGCCTGACTTTGACTAAGTCTGCAGATTGAATTCGGGCAGTAGTTTCGTGAAAAACAAAGTACTCCACCAATGCAGCTGTCATAAAATACACAGCCCACTACGCGGAAAACGACGATCCCCAAAAAAAAAAGAAAAATAATATTAAACATAACATAAATCCATAACCGTATCTGAATATCAGACACCCGTGTTGATTCTTCTGGCCGCTCAAGGGTGTGCAGCCGAGTCAATGCACTCTGATCATTCAAGTTCACATGCAAATTGGATAAATCCAAAATCGCTTAGATTTATGGCTTTATTGATAGGTATTTAGTTCTTGGCGACTACCTATGTGTATGACAGATTAAGCCTCCGTGAGGTTCATTGACATAGCGCTTAGATTATCTCTCAGCTCAGTTGTTAGTTTTCCGCGCTTTGACGCACTGACGTGTCATATCGTCTCTGATCTGTGGAAAAAGGCAATATGTCGCAGTCGAAAAGTTTATTTCCTCTTGCCTAATCGACAAATTTGCTTAAGATGACAGCAGCTTGTCCACCCACACGGTCTTCTCTGCTGCTCCTCACCTGACTTTCGACAGTTTTTAGCATTTAAATCCAATTTATTCGTTTCTTGTTTGCAAAGACCGCCTGTGCCGAGAATGAAACGAGAATATATCGAAAAATATCTGTGCCTCTGTGCCAACTGCCAAAATCTGTTCTAATGACATTTGGCATTCTTTTCCATTTTGTCTTCTTACTCAGCGGGTTTACAAAAATGGTTTTTTAATGTTGTTTAAGTTTTATTTAATTATGCAGCCATTCGAATTAATATTTTTATGGCTTCACACCACGGAAGCAAGTTGACATTTTGGGTAATGTTTGCCGTGGCTTAGCCATAACTAAAGAAATTAGTTGATTTTTACGAGCACACCGCACATATGGAAAATTGTTTTTTAATTTATGCCATTTGATTGTAGAGCTTGGCTTTTAATTACAAGTATTGCCATTGAGCGTTGGTGTTGCTGCGTTTGAGCATTTCGATGGCTCTTCTACGCGCTTCTCATCAATCCAAGTCAAGGGCCCTTCTCGGCGCTTCTCAATTATTTTATTTAAGCGACTAGTTTATGTTTCTATGTTTGTTTCAAGCTCGTGTAAACGTTTCAAGTTTCATGTTTCACACAAGCGAGACCATGTACCTAATTAAAAAAAGCTAATCCAATATGCTAATTTAATCTGCGATATTTTAGTCAATTTGTTCACACCGCCGTGATGTACGAAACTGGAAATTCTATTTCCAGACCACAATTGGCAAACAACAGAAGTCTTTTTAACGCCGAGTTTGTGATGGGTAAAAATGTCAGAGGCTTCAGTGAGGCATATTAAACGCACCATAGAGCGAGACGGGGCAGTGAATCATAAAATAAATAAATAAGTGCGACGCTCTCGGTGACCGATTTGTTGAGGGACAGCAACGCATCCGCTAGATACTCACTGGACTGGGGGTTGTCCGAGAGTTTGGTCTCCGTTTCTGATTTTGATTTTGTTTATGTGCCGCATTTTTCTGTTGAAAGACCAAACACAGACGTTCCGTTGTCACCGACCAGCGACCGCATTGCTGCAAAAATTAGCGTGCCTATATGGAATATCAGTCGTACTTATCACGTTTCTTGACTTGGACTAACCCATGGGCAGAAGGGTGAGTCAGGTGTTGAGGTAAGCCATGGCTCTTTGATATTTTGCCAGTTGCCAAATGATTAGTCACCCCACCGCCCATATGTCCCTCCTCTAATCCTCTAATACCCAACAATTTGATTGGTTTGTCCAAGTGTTTGATCTCCGTGGTTGGGTTCTAAGTAGCAAACCCGTACTCGTACCAATCACCGACTTCCATATACAGAAGACATCGTGACACCTCCGCCGCTTTCCTCTTTTCTGAAAATGTGACAACCAAATGGTTTGTTCACTTTACGGAGAACACGGAGAAAAAATGCTGATCAGTGTCTCATTCGAATTAGCATATCTGGACTGAATTCTAAGTACTGGCAATGATTCTGTCGTTTTAATATAGATGTTTACATTATCCAGTAGTTCAATATTGATTATAGTTTGTATAATTTAATTAATTTTTAATTTTTAATACCTTTGCCAAGTTGAAAAATTAAAGTCAAATAAAAGTTTCTTTCCGTGTACAATTCTTTTTCATTTTGAAATGAAACACGCGTATGCCACAATCAGACCGAAATGAAAAAATAAAGAATTAAATATTTATTGTACTGTTTCTTGTCGGTTTATGAATCAATTAATACGGGTATGGGTGGCTGGACAGGCGGACGGGCGGTCGGTTGCTGAAATGAAATGTTGAATGAAATGCTGAACTTGCGCGCCCCTCGGTCTGGTTAAGTGTTTGTTCGTGTTCTAGAGCTCTTGTCGACGAAGTTGAGAGCAGGTTGGATCGATAAATTCACTGGGGTCTCAACTAATTGGTGGAGAGAAATGTTGTATAACTCTGAGAACTCTTTAGGCCAACCTCTGCAACGCTGCAGATCCGCTGGAGATCTGCGTGGGTAATTTTGAACCGCTTTCAAGTCCCCAATTGAACTGCCCCCAGTGAAAAAGTCATAATAATTAATTCTTTTAAGACACATAATCTTTTATTTGAATAGTTTCTTGCTCTTTTTGTGGTTTGGTATGGTTTTTTTGTTGTGTGTGGTGTTTCATTTTCGAATTTATTAGCAGCTTGGCTGGAAAATACCGGATTGGACTTGCATCAGCCACCAATTGTTACTGTTAATTCATTTTTCTTTTCGGATTATAAGCTAATTTGTCACATTGAACTTGTTTTTGTTTTACTTTTCGTTTTTTTAGTTTTAGATTTGCTTTTTGCGCTTACATCGAATGGTTTAGCGAATGACAGTTGAATAAATTTGAAAAATATCACTATTTAGTAAAGGTATATATGTATACACACATAAGCTTGTATATAGTATAACTATTAATACATGTTTTAAGTTATTTTTAATGCATTTCGAAATTACATTCTTGCTTGCCCCCTTGCTCAACATCACAATAATTGGTTTTGAAATATTTTCTTTGTCCGACACACATGCATGAATATTTATAGATATTTCCTATGCACACTTTTTATAAAATATAAACTTTAGAAATATAAATTCGAGGTTGTTTAGTGTTGTGTGTCTGTTGGTTTTTTTCATCTTTTCTTTTCATTTTTTCTTTTTGGATTTTGTGCAGCCAAGGGAAATCAAAGCAGGAGAACTTAAGGTATAAAGCTTTCTGGCCTGGAGCGGACTAAAACGAAAAGAGACAAATGCCAGGGCCAATCGACTATTCCTCCATGCATTATGCATAGGCAATGGTCGATGGCTAAGACCTTTGACCTATTGCCGCTATCCATCTCACACTTTAAATTAAATCTAATGAGGTATTTAGCTGCACGCAATGCCCGCGGAGTTCTACAAAAAGCAAATTGACTTAATGGCGCAATAGCCGTTGGCTAGCCAAGGGCTAACTAACTGCTGACTGACGTTCTGGCCAACTGGCAAATGCAGCATTGCACTGGCCAAGAGACATTTTCAATATGAAAATGCCGCCTGCAAATGACGCTCCAGTTGGCCAGGTGGAAAAAGCACTGCTCGGCACTAAGTGCTCGGAATTTAAGACTACTCGGCTACTACAACTTAAGCTCTAGAATACACATATGCTTTGCACATTGACTTAATTAACTTATGAATTGAATGTTTGCGTCTCTTCTTGTTTTTCTTTTAGCCAGAATGTTGTTTGGAGTTAAAGCTTTGCGGTGTGGATGTCTAATAAATATTTACAATTGTTATAATAAATAATAAATTAGTGGGTGAGCTCGAAATAACTGTGCTGTCGTGCTATTCTTTTGTGTTAGTTTGTGGTTCCACTTGAGTAAAAACATTAAATGTTCATATGCTTGTTGCTTAGGTACATTGATTACGATCTCGACTTGGCTTGGCTTGGTTCCACTTTACAGTTTGATATCCACCCTAAGACTACAACTCCTGTCTCTCAAACTTTGTTAATTTGACTTGTACACAGTTTTCTATTTGTTAAAGGTACTTTGTTATTTTGTTTTTGTGTTTTTGTATTACTTTAAAGCATCTCAAACTTTATAGCTTGACTTTCTTTGTGTTTTTCTTGTTTTAGTTTTTGGCATGAGAAGCTTCTAGGACAGCATGATCTGGTCTTAAAACTCAAATTCAAACAGTTGTCTTTGCTAATTGCTAATCTTACAAATTACGAATACTGTTTTTAGAATTCTTCAGCAAGCGAGTTTAGTGTTTGTCTAAATTCTAAGATATATAGTTATCTTAACCCCCCTTAGACCTCTGTGGGCAAACTCTGGCTCTGGCAGCCCGACTGCAGTTTCTTCGAGCCTCGGAAGAACATGTCGAAGAGCCTGGCCCGTCGATTCTGGAACTTTTGGGGAGTAGTTGGTGTTATAGCTATATGCTCCACAATGGTGATGCCCCTTTGCAGTTTAGGGCGTTGTGGGCGAGTGGGCGGCGTTGCAACGGCAACAGTGGGTGGTGGTGTTGCCGGTGGGGGTTCCTCCGATTCTGCGGAGCCCCTTGCTCCTCCGAAATTAATGATGGTGCTGCAGCTGCTGTTCGGCCTCAAAGTCAAGGTCGTATGCACCGGTACTTGGCTGACCAGTGAAGTCTGAGGCGTGAGATACCTGCAACTGTTACTGCTGTACTGCGACAGCTTGCTGCTGTTGCGCTGCAACTGTGCACCACCTGCAGCAGGTCCAGCAGTTCCATTGGTCTTCACACTGCTGCTGCAGTGACGCTGCAGACCAGCCGATGATTCCAGGCCAAACAGCCGCTTGACTCCACGTCGCACCCTTTTATTTCTATAGGCGAAGATGAAGGGGAACTGAGGTTGGCCAGCAGGATCATGAAGATGGCCAACTGCGAAGAGCCACCGAAATTGGCAGCCGATAACCGCGATTGCAGGAGTACCAGCAGTCCAAAAGGCAGGTACGAGACTACAAACATCACCACAACCAAAATGCTGATGCGGGCGGCTCTCGACTCCTCCCGGTATTTGAACAGCGAACTAGCGTTGCTCAGACGATGTCGCAAGGAGCTCATGTAGCTGAGAGCCTTGGGGGAAGCGTGGATGGCGGGTATTTGGAGGGCGTGCCCGTGCTGCTGGTGACGTGGCGAACTGAAGTGCGGGTGATGCTGGTGGTTGTGATGATGTTGGTGCTGCTGATGCTGCAGGTGCAACTGCTGCGATTGCTGCTGCTGTTGCCGCTGGGCATGGCCCAAAAGATGCGGCGAGCCACACTCCTCACTCAAAGAATCCTGACGCAGTTCAGTGTACTTGTGCAGATTTGGGGAGCTGTGCACCTGGCGAATGCCTTGGAGACGATGAGCCTCCCTCAGATCTTGAGAGGAAGTGCCCAACAGGGGTAACTGTCTAGCGGAGTAGTTCCTCTTGATCTCTCCACTGGCCGTTTGCAGAGTCAGCATTATATTCTGATTTCGATCAGACAGAGAGTGCTCCTGCACTGGCATTAGTTGTACTCCGGCTCCACTTTCCGCATCTGAGCCACCATCATCGGAAATGGTGGGCAGCAGAACTTTAGCCGCTGAATCCCTCCTCAAGCAGCTAGGTGAACTCCTTGGTTGCTGGCGCTGATCAATTTGCATCTGCAGACCGCCAAGGCCAATGCCCAAGCTGCTGTTTCCACCATGCGAACTGGCCGAGGATATGGAATGCCTATGAACACACAAGCTGTTGGAAAACTGATTCGTTTGAGCCGCCTGTTGGCCAGCTGTCAGATTCAAGGCGCTCTGCAAAAGCGGCGATGATCCATTCTGGCGCATGCGCAACCCATTACCGCGGGCCTCACTGAAGATCCTCCAGTACATTCCGCACACAAAGCCAAAGGGCAGGAGTATGATAACGATGAAGTATACACTCGCGTATATCACTCCGAAAATACTGTTTGTGCTGCTGATATTGAAGTACGTGACTGCCATGCGGCGTTGTCTGCTGAACAAGGCGTCCGCATCAAAGTCCAGAACTCGAAAGGCGGATAGAGCTCCAAACAGAATACCCACCACCCAGGTGAGTGCTATGAAGATCCAGGTTTTTAGCCCCGAGATGCGACTATGATAACGCAGGGGATCTGTGACCGCACACCAGGTATCCCCCACCACAAGCAGAACTGCCAAGGCTCCCAGAGCTGCAGTCATGTCTATGGACCAACATCTCAGTTGCACAGGTGGCAAGATGGGAGCCTCTGTGGGTAAACTCTCAAAGGCCGAGAGGTTCTCCTCATGGGTCTCGGTCTCTGTAATAACAAAGCCACCATCGCCGCGCTCATCGATGGTCAACTCGCGACAATAAGTGGCGTTGCACTTGAAGAAGGTCTCCACCGTATCGCCGTTTTCGCTGATATTCTTTCGCACCACGACGCCATCCTGCTCCACAAGCTGACCATTTCGACGGAATATGACCTGATGGTTACCCGGCTTCGAGAAGAATTCCAAGGTCTCCGATGGTGAAGTGACAGCAGAAGATTTGCCCGGCAGTCCCAGGAACAAGGTGGGGGCCAAGATGCAGCACCCAATGAGATTGATGGCCAGCAGATTGATCGTAAAACGATTCGCTGTAGTCCTCAAGCCTGGCGTTATCCAAAAGGCACACAGCGCCAGCAGGTTGATCAGGAACGAGACAAGCAGCAGGGCCAGGATCAGGAGGTCTATGGCCATTCTTTATGCTGTTTTTCGATTACCACACATCACTTTACAGTTTCACAGTCACTTATGGCCTTTTATTTTGTTTGGCTTTTCGGTTTTGTTTTGGCTTTGCTTATGACACAAATTTCACTCGGTATATCCGCTGTTTCTCTCGTCTCTTCACATTTACAGCCAAAGTTTTGGGTTTTTTGTTTAATAAAGTTTTTTATTTTGGTTTTTTTAGTTATATCTGCGGCTTGTTTCTTGCGAACGCTTGCTAATTTACGTGCGAGATTTGTAAAAAACAATTTCTTTTTTGTTGCTCTCAAGCATTTGCTTTTACACTTGTGTTTATGTTTCGTGTCTTGTCAATTGTTTGGGCTTTTGACTCTTTTTGTTCGCCGTGTAATTTTTTTTCACGCGCACCGATCGGACGAGCACGATCTTCACTCCGAAGCGTTCCAAGCACAACTGTCGTGAGCGGTCGCCGCAACGCCTCCAAATATACGCGAACGCTCCACAGCGAGTGCAAGCGAGAGGTGTCGTGGCTGAGCGAGGGAGACGGAGCAACGCCAGCGGGAGAACGGCGAGCGAGAAGAGCGCTTTGGAGAGCGACGAGAGACCGATGTTGCTGCCGTGCTGTGATGATTGTTGCTGGTGTTGCTGCCGTGATTTGCGATTCCCACGCTCCGACTTTGAAATTATGTTGCTGCAAGTGGCCGCTTCTCTGTTGCCAGCCGGTCTTTATCAGTAGTTGCTGATGTTGCTGTTGTTGTTGCTACTGCTGCAAGTGTTGCTGTTGTGGCTTCCACAGTTGTTGTTGCTACTATAACTCGAAGTGTTGCTGTTGTTGCTTCTACAGTTGTTGCCGCTGCTGCAATTGCTGTTTCTGCTGTTGTTGTTGCTGTTGTCCTAGTTCACTCCAGCAGCAACACAAATTGTATAATCTGTTTCTTTTTTGCAATGCCAATCGCCGCTTCACTTTTGCTCTATATTACATCACTTGCTCAATGTTATTGCTGCTGCTGCTGCTGCTTTTGCTCGAGCTTTTCCATTTTCCAAGACATATTTTCTTCTGGCTTCTGCACAATTTCCAATGTGCAATACTTCGGCGGCCGCGCTCTATTTTCTTAACCATAAAAATTGCATTTTTATTAGGCCGACTGCTGCTGCAAAATAAACAACAACAACAGCTGATGAAATTCCCACCGTTGGGCGCCAGCTGCAAGAAGGAAAAGTAGAGAAAAAGAGAGAGATAATCAGAATCAGAGCGAAACAGCGCGCACAGGAGATATGTCCGTGAGATAAGACACTGTTATTATTGTTGTTTTGATTGTGAAATTAAAAACAAATACAAATACAAACGCTGGACCAAGATGATACAGCAGATTCACTACGACTTCAACTTCCACTTCCAAAAACCCGCTCGACAATGACTCACAAAAAATAATAATTTCATTTCATTTTGTTGAAAAACGGCACGCTCCCGTTATGCACATATGAAATTCGTTATCTGTAGTTCGTTGATAAGGCATTAATCCACTTATATGCCAAAGGGAACTGTCCAGAAGTCTATCATAGATACTTAAAGTCAATTAACTAAAATCGTATTGGAACCACACCCACTCATCCCCACACGCTCAGTTCACATGAACCTTGATTATAGGTAACTGTGTTTTTTTTTTATTATAACTACGCATTATCCCCAATAGCCAGTAAGTACACAAATCGGACGATCAGCCGCTTACAACATGACCGTAGAATCGACTTTAATGAGATCATCACAAATTCTCTTCGATTCCCAGTAGTCATAAAAAAAAGTTTGAGGCATCTAGCCAAAAGTCATATCCACACACAGAAAAATTTTGGCTTGCTCATGGGATTTTCTTGGAAAATTCTGTTCATAATTATTTTCTTATTTATTTTTTATTTTAACACTTTCTGGATTCCGAAGCTATGATATTAAAACAAAAAAACTTTAAAGCTATTTCAAACTAGAAAGGAAAGATAGTGCAAATATTTCTGAAAACAATTTTGTTTTTAAATAAAAATTTCAAGATGACTTTATTTTTATCCGTGCAATTCATCATCTTTCCAGTTCTATGGAAACGCACGAGCCGCTTATATTTTTTTGAACACGCGACCGGAGACTGTGAAAAATCAACAGAAAACCATTTTCTTCTGGGCAATTTTTTTTTTTTTTGGTGTCAGGTCTGAACGGCGTTTGCATGCCCTACTTTTGCCAAGAGATATATATTTTTATTAATAGCTGCGATGCCCGCAAACGAGTCGTGAAAATGCCAGAAGATGCGAAATGAATGATTGCCGATAAAGATGGCGCATTTAATTGCTGATTTGCCCACAGAATCAACTGGGGGTGACTTATAGCGATTGTCACGAAAAGATTTATGAAATTTAATTATGCAATGTCTTGATTAAAATTTAATTATAGATTGATGCCATTGTTGCATATATATTTGCATTATTCAAGATTAAAATAAATTTATTCAGAACATAATGCTTAAGTCAGAGAGACTGCAATTATGAAGGGAAGAATACAGTAACACGATTTGTTTAATATTTACTACTTATTTGCATTTATTAAAATGCCTAAGTAAGTTTATAAATATGCAAGTAAGTTATATCTACATAGAACTTTGTCGCCAACTAATCCCCTACAAACTCAAACATCCGCCCCTCGTTGAAAGTCTTATCAATTTGGAGCTCGATCAATGTCTAATGGCCATCGATCATATAGAAAGATTCCCGAACATTTACATTTCACTAAAACCCATCCGAGCGAAACATCCATCCATCTACGGCGTGTGACGTTAAGTCAATAAAGCCCCCGACTAATTCATATTTACATTCCGCCGATCTAAAGATCTCTCTGTGGACATTATCTATGGCATTTTAAAGTGTGAAAGCGATCTTTTAGCGGCATTTTAGGGGTGTGAATTTAACGCTCGTTTTAACGCTTCGCTCGTCATTTGACATAGTGGGTTAGACTAACTAACTAAAGACGAATTCAAAAAGAAGTCAAGGTGGGGGAGTGCCTTTTTTTCAAACTGTTATCTAAGGAAGGAAGCACGGCTTTGATTATTTATTGATAGTGGAACACAAAAGGCAATTCGCAGTTGATCAAATACGACTGCAAGTGCTGATAATACCTTATGTAGACACTGATTGTTCGCTTTTCAAAGGGAAACGCAGTTGAATTCACTTTGTTCTCAAATTGAGAGTTTCCGCACGCGTGCAGACTCTCGGTTTCTAAGAATTTGATTTATTTTATGAGGTCGAGAATATCTGAGAGTTTAGATCAAAGTGGGATCACCGACGAGCTCATTGTATATATTCTTAGCTTCTTGAGCTTAATTGTCATTTCAAGTGTGCATGTCTGGTGCAGTTCACTGAATTTATTATCTTGACAAACCTAATATTAATTGCACTTAAACGAAATGCAACTATGACAGGTTAACTAAATCTCAACTAACTATAACTGGCATATCACCAAAAAGCATTTCAATAATTGAAAGATTGAAGATTTCGTTTGATGTAAGCTGATACCAAGATAGACTGTCTCAGAAAGAGTGTTTCTGACTTCGACTTGTTGCAATGAAACTGGTCCTATTTCCAAGCTTTTTTATGGCCAGTGACAAATGCATTGAGATTCGTCTGGTCAGGTGTTTGTAGTTCCGTCTGGGGGTGTTAGTTTTAGTTTGTGTAAGTATCAGAGGGGTCGCGTTCCGAGTATCGAAGCTATACTGTTTGCACGGCGTCTGATGATCGGGTTAAGAATTTGCACCGGCTGGATAATGTGCTCATTTGCATGACTCGGCGGAAAGACAAACTGAAAGCATGAGTAAACTTAAACGGGTGTTAGATCGCTCCTCTGAAAGACAAAAATAAAAATAAAGAAAATACCCGAGAACAAAGTGCCAACGATTTTTATATGTTAATGTCCCGTCGAACTTATTCACCCTGCTGACCAACTGTGGAGGCTGGTCTTTCGACCATCGCTTGGGGGACTCACAGGGCACGTGATCTGTATAAATCGGGCAGCATGAACAACATGGAGCTTGAGATAAAGCCAAAACAGAGTGATTCCCAGGCCAGCACAAAGAGCCGATCGCTGTGATCGCCAGTCTATGTTAAAGCCGGTTTTTATTTATACCGCTTTTGTACCGCTTTTGTCTCCGCTTCGATCTTAACTTGAGTCTCGAATGTGACGTCACTTCTGACGTTGGCTTTTTCGTATGCATCTCGAGTGCTCCGCTCTGAAAATATTTAAATAAAGTTTTTGCACTCAGTTTTGGACTTTACCCTGCCCCCAAGACGATGCACGGTGAAATTAAGGCACTTAAGCCCCATAAGACCATAAAATTTCATATAAATGATATTTAACCCATATTTGTTGTCGCACCGATAATTTCATATGTCCACGCCAAATAGGCCAAGATTTTCTTTATTTGCAAATCACAGAGAAATATATTTCCATATTTTCAAAATTTGTAATCAGAACTAAGAGATTAAAAGCTGATTAGTTTGGTTATAAAAGTCTCAAAAGGGCTGGAATATTGCCATGAAAAAAGAAGGCAACAAAACAAATTTGTGAATGCATAATTACAAAATTCGATATGCATTTTCGATCACCACTTAAAGGCTTAGTGTTTTTTTTTTTTCGGTGTTTCGCCTACACGTGTGTGCATTCCCCTTCAATCCCAAAAATGGAAGACATATACGATAGGGACTGAGGCCCAGACCGAGGCAAAGTCATTAATTTGCCAGACCATATGCAGTTGAGCCGAATACTTTTGGTCATCATGAAGTCGCATGTCCTTGAGCTGGTTAAAGGCCCATCAAGTCCGGCTAATAATGAGTTGCCATATAGCCCGGGCCCATCGAGTCATTTGATTGCATTGCCCGAATGGGGAAATTATCTCGAACCAATTTCGATTGAGCTATGGGGCTTTTGGGCCAGGTTAAGACCTGATAAGAACTTTGTGGCAATGTCAACATTTTAGAGACATTTTTGTGGCTTTAAGTTTGAGTGCAGCAATTGAAGCAATGCACTTAATGCTGTCAAATTTACTGATTTTTGATATTATCAACTTACGATATCATTTTATAACTTCCTGGCATATCAAAAAAGTTAATAAGCTACTCAGATACGTTTAGGTATTTACCATATGTTTGCTTAGAGTTTAATGCAAGAATTTCTTATACCAAATAAGCATTTCCTAAAGACATTTTTCCAAAATTCCTTAAAGTTGACTCAATCCACTTCCTACATTTTTTGCTTACACAACCCTCTGATCGCTTTTCTGGCATATTGAAAAAACATTAGCTATTTTTACACTTATATATTTATTTTTTGAGCAGAGTGATTTCCGCCATAATGGGCCCGTGAGAAGGCGCTAATTTGTTTCGCACTTGGCCAAAGATTTTTGAGTGGCTGCCTTCTATTCTAAGTAGACAGTTTTATAATAAGTTTAGCCCTGGTAAATCTGTTAATTGACGGCACTGCCCCAGCCCTTTAAATGAACAACATGTGAGACAACCGACAGGCATGACGAATCCCTCAAATATTATATATTATTTATTGTATAATTCAGAAATACTGACAGTTTCCGTTACCTGATAAGATTACGTTGAGGGCAAACAGTTTTAATACACAATCAGAGAGTTGAGCTGAGCTTTGGCTTGGGTTCGGGCAAATCCAATTCAATTAGCTTTGGCCAGCAGATCCTGATTTGCCGTCGTCGCCCTGATGCGATTATGCCAATATGGGA